GCACAGGAGAAGGGAACAAGGAGTTGTGTAGTTTATTATGAACAAATCAAACAGGAGTTCAGACAGGGGTAAATCCAGAGGTTTAACACACACTGAGTGCTGCTTTTCAGCCTTCAAGCTTTCTTCAGCTTCTACTGTGATATCATATAAACCTGCAGATAGGAGAGGATAGAGTTCATTTCACTGGAACAACTCCATATGAGGAGTGGCCATTTGAAGTTTAGCATACCTGAAGCATATTGAAGAGAGGGAGAGCTAAGGAAGAACTCTGACAGCCTGGATGTTGTGACAGATGGAAGGAAAAGGAAACTGGTTCTTGGAAGAATGCCTAGAAAAGGTTGTAGGGTTGGGGGGGAGGGCTCAGGCCAAGAGAAAATGAAGTCTCACAGTCCACAAAAAGAAGGCATTCTACTCAGAAGTAGTAGTGGAAAACAGAAGCAATATAGGCAGAAGAGAAATGTAGCATCCTGTTTGGTACTAAGGGCCACTTAGACCTGAAGAGAAAAATGCATATTAGACAGAGACAAATAGTTGTTATCCCCTATAAGCCAATATGATTCTGGAAGAGCTTTGGAAGAAAACTGGGAGTTTTTACAACCTCAGGGTATAAAAATCTTCAGTATCTTGCACTATTGTGATGCTTCCAGCACACACTCATGTCAAAACACATAGTATATGTTTTATTTTGGTATATGAATGGGACAGCCCCATAAATATTTGTCTCTTGTCCTGGTAACAGAAGTTCAATAAAAACAAAGTACATACCCAAAAGGCATAACATGTGGTGCCTCCCAAAAATCTGCCTGTGAATTGTCCATCTCACTCTGAACTGGAGGAGTGAGCCCTGAGATTTACCAAGTGATGCAATGTTCCTCATTATCTGATCCTTATTCTATAGTTACAGCTGTAATTTTCCCAACTACCCTACTTGGATGAAAATCTACAGAGTGGAGATTTGGTGTTCCTGTTTCCTGAATGTTCAAACTATGATGTTAACAGTTTTGCAACTAGATCTAATCAGACACCTCCAACTTCTAATCAGCCTCAACACCCAGCTAGAGATCATGTTGGCTTGATTTTTGCTGTCTGATAGTTGGCTGTGAAAGCCAAAATGCAGTGAGGAATGAGAAATCTAGAGACAGAAGGGGAATCCTCAGCCCATCATCTACCTTCTCCAGGGGCAACTTCTCACATTGTGCCTCAATGACATATTTTTCTATCCAGCTCAGTAACAACAGTGTGCTGCTACCTAGCTGTTTCCTTGTAAATGGATTTTCCTTGGTTAAAACAAAAATAGAAGGAAGAAGCAGCAGGAAAACACAAGGAGATTACAACTACACAATGACATTGATTGACAGCTTAATTTATGTAGAGTCACAAGCATGTGTGATGCTTAACAGAATAGGAAAAAGAAGTGAGGTCCTTATCTCCAAGGAGTTATAGTCTACAGCAGGGGTAGGCAACCTTTCCCCTTTAAGGGCCGAGGGACTTCAGCTCCCAGAAGCCTCAGCCATGTTGGCCAATAGTCCCGTGTTGGTCAATAGCTCCTGGGATTCTGGGAGCTGAAGTCCCTCAGCCCTTAAAGGGGAAAGGTTGCTTACCCCTGGCCTACAGTTTAACACAGCAGAGGAGGGAAAAGAAGGAACAGGATTCATTTGAGGACTCAAAGAAAAATAATTGCTGATCATCAGTAGGGCTTTACAGACAGAAAAGATATTGGGAAATATAAGAAGTAGTACTGAATCTCTCAAGCAGAGTAAAGTAAAGGAGAAGCTGAGCAACTAGTAGAACCCCCACACAGTTTCTAGCAGAGAAAGAAATTAGACAGTTTTCTATGCAAAAAAAAAATTATAAAGGGAGCTTTCTCACTGCTTTTTTGTGTGACACTATATTTTCTCTCAAATTTAGGTTCTCCTTCACCCTTTCTTTTATTTAGACCATGTATTTGAACAAGTGGTGTAAGTAAAGAGAGAAGGAAAAGTGGCTATTGTTATGAACACTGGAAACCTTCCAGTTTTGTGTTGTGTGTGTGCTACCCTTCCATGGCCCTGAATGAATTTTCAACTATAGGCAGCCATGAGCCCAGAAACAGCAGGTCACATACCAAGGTACCTTTATTAGCAGATCAATCAGATAGTTTGGGAGCTACATATAAGGGAAAATTCACACCTCCAAAGGTAGGAAAGATAGCTGATTTATAGCCAAGATGTTTTACACTCAAGCAGGAGAGGGCTGATTTACAACTCTGTTCACCATCTTTGAAATCCTTTCTCGAGTGATCATGTCCCATGCAGATTTGGCCCTTTGATGTATCTTTGCCCCAGTTTTGATGTATATAAAGACCCAAATTTCTTTTGTTTCCTGGGGCTAGATAGAATGGAAGGGGACCCTGCGTCACTTTGAATTCTGCCTAGTTCCAACCCACAGCCATTTCCCACAGCGCTTCCCATGCCCCGGGTCAAATGCCATACTATCTAATTTGAACCATTTGGAGTCATCCACATCAATAGTATCACCATTAGTGGAGCTTCTTGTCTATTCCAGTGCTCACTCCTATATTCCTTAGCCTCTTGTTCACATGTGTGTGTATGATTGTCTGGTTGTGTGTTTCCCCCTTTAATAAAATACAGTTAATAGAAAGAGTTCTGCCTCCGTGAGTTCCTATCCACTTCTCTTGATATACATGTGGGAACAACCCCAGAAGGGCTGCTTGTAGCTCAGCCCATTGATTAATTGAGCTAATTAAAAA